TTTCCATTCATTCATTATTGCACATTTTCCTCCCTACCCCATCCCCTTTTGCCTTTCTCTTTAAAAAAATTCTTTCATTGTTGCACAATTTTCTTCCTCCCCCTGACCCCCAGTCCACTTTGCTATGTACCTCTTATTAAAGAGGAGATAAATAATGAACACTGCATTGCAACAGATGAGGGAAAGAACTGTTTAACAAGAATATATGATTAGGTATTATTTGCATAAAAGTGTTTTTAAAGATGCTGTTAATTTTTCCTAGGAAATTTTTGTTGTCTTTTTTTTAAATTGTTAATGTATCCTTGAGTCAGAACCAACCCATAGCTGACATTCCAGTGGGTTTTGAGAGGCTGTAAATCTCACATGCCCATCTTGATCCTGCGGAGTAGCTGGTGGGTTTAAACATTGGCAGTGCAAGAATTCTTTACCACTAAGCCACCAGACCTCCCTTTAGTTTGCCTTAAAAATGTGTATATAGATGTGTATATATAAGGTTTGAAGGAGTGGTAAATAGACCTCTAAAATACAAAGTGGTTGATAATCAAATGTATGGACTACTTATTTTCTGTGTAGGAGTGTACCAATGATAGTCCCTGACTTGTCCTGCATACTTTGCTCCCCCTCTCAGACCTATGATCAGACTGCTTTTTTCTATTTAGACCCTTCTTTAAAGTCAATTAAGAATGATATTTTTGTTTTTACTTTTATTTCATACTTTAAAACATACATATATATTTTTTTCCTTGTTTTTTTATAGTGATTTTAATGAAAGTTTACAGAAAAGGATTTTCATTCATTCATCATTGCACATTTTCCTCCCTAACCTCCAGTTACTTAGAAAAAAGAAAGAAAGAAAGAAAGAAAGAAAGACAGACATTCATTGTTGTATTTCCTCCCCCCACCTTAGTCCACTTTGCTATGCACCTTATTCTGGACTGTTGTCATACAAATAATGCCTAATCATATATTCCTTTTAAATAGTTTTTCTTTCATCTGTTCCAATCCAGTATTCATTATGCATTATTTATCACCCCTTTTCTTAGTTTTCTCCCAACTCCCATGTCTGTCCTGTTTTATAATAGTGGTGTTATACAATATTTGTCCTTTTGTGACTGAGATATTTCACTCAGCATACATCTTTCTTTTAGAATATCATTTTCTATATCTAACATAATTTATTGAAGTAAAACTAAACTTATTGTCACTGAGTTGATTTCTAAGGGAACTTAAATTTTTGCTTTTGTCTATTTAAAATAAGTAATGTATAGAATTTGGTACAAAACAGAAATTGTGAGATAGGGCTCTAATTAGAATTTTTAATTAGAAATATTTATATCAGTTATTTTCCTCCTGTTTTCTAAGATTAAAATTTCTTTCTAAAAGATTCTGCATTAATTTTGAGCATGTGCAATGATAACAGTATTTAAAATTTTTATTCACCCAAAGATCTTGAATTTTTATTTATTGTCAGCATTTGCTGAGAGAGAATTTGAAGTTTTAGGAAATAATGCTACTTCTATTTTCCACAATTTCTGTCCATGAAGATATAACATTTTATTCCACAAAATGATGATAAAACTGTATTTAGAAACCAATTGTAAAAACAAACTAGAAAATAATGAAAAGTCATTATTATCTAAATTCCTGAAAGGTATTTAAAGCACAAGATTAATTCCACACATGTTTTGTAATTTCATTGGCTGATTGACTAATTAATTACATTAAGAGCTTGCTCTCAACTGTGTATAGTTGGTGGGTTTTGTGTGTGTGTGTGTTTTAAAGAATGACTCTTACTGAATATAGAATAAGTCAGCTTACATTAATACTTTTAAAAAGGCACTATTAGGCTAAACTCAAAATCTAGCACGTGAAAATGAGAATACTGAGATATGTGTAGTAGTAATTCTTTAGCTCTTGTATTACCACGTACTGAAGCACAGTCTTTATGTGATTTGACAGTTTCATCCGGAAGCTAGTAATTAGGATTTAAGATTATAGAGCATATGCAACTTACAAAAACTAATGTGAGATCTAATATGAAAAGTTTTAGCACAGTAATATATGCTAGGAACTTGTGATGAATATTTGTATTCCTAATACTTCTCTTGTTCTTGTATTTCTGGGTTTATTTTGCAATTACAGGTTATTAAGAGAAAAAACAATACTGTATTGATAGAAAGTGGCTATCTTAGATGCATGTTGTAACTGAATTATATAGTTTATTATTGTTAATATATTTAGCACACAACTATACTGGAATGAATATCTGTAAGCTTCTTGTACAATGCTACTTTACCAGTAGAATTCCAGAGTTTTCTGTAATCTATCATATTCTTTATTTGTAGGCTGCTTTTTTTTGTTTTAAAATGAACAAAATTACTAGTTGTCATTGGGAAATTAAGCTTGATTGATTTTTAAAATTTTCCCACAAATATAGAAGTTGTTTATACCTTTCTATTGCTCTAAATAAAATGTTGACAGTTTTTGAGATGGAAACAATGAGTGCTTATTTTCAAAGAAGAAAAAAATGTGTGAAAAGAATTTGTCTTCCTGGTGTTAAAATAGATTGCTTTTTGAAACTTATTACAGAATTTATCTCATGAAAATCACTAGATCTTTACTATAAAAACAGGCTAATATTACTATATTATTAAAAGATTTGAAAAACAAAATTCAAGCTTTAAACATAAAACAAAAAGAAAATTCAATATTTAAGACATTTGGTTAAATTGGGCTAATAATAATTTTAGTATGTTTCTTACCTTTTAAAAATCCAAATGGGCTGGTTCTAGATGGTACACAATAACAATGCCTTTTGATGAATTATATAAGTATGTTCTAATTCTGTTCAGGTATTTATATAAATTAGTTCTTGTGATTAAACACAAAATTAATATTTCTCTTTTAAAAAAATTATAAAAAAGAGTAAACAATGCTTTCATTTTCTGTTTAAACATAAGAGACAGAAGTGGGTTTGAAGGTTTTTATAATTCTTATCTTTGTCCATAGATGGATTTTTATACCCTATAATTTTTTCTCTTGTTGAAAATTCACTAAATAGTGATTGTAATTATTATAGTAACTACTTGTTATTAAATAAAACATAGTGTATTGCCACTTTTTGTTTAGAGCTGGTCACACAAAAATTCAACAGTGAGATTTTTTTTTTTTTTTTCCAACAGTGAGATTTTAAAGGCATTTAGTTTTTCTCAGATGCTTTGGCCCTGTTTTTTTTGCCCTGTATGAGTGGAAAGAAACCATATAGCTACGTTATTCACATTTGTTCTTATTGTTAGATGCTGTCTAATCAACTCCCACTCATAGCGACCTTTGCGGACAGAACAAAACACAGCCGGGTCTGCTCCTTGTTTGAAATCTCTGCCGTGCTTTAAGTCCAGCCTCTGTCAGTCCATCTGCTTGACGTCTACTTCTTCACCGACCCTCTACTTTTACAAGCATGATGTCCAGTTTTTCCAGAAACTTCTCTCTTTCGATAATATGCCCCTAGTACGTGAGACTCCCTCATTTTCAAGAGCATTTTATCTGCATTTCAAAAATCCAAAAAGTAAAAGTTATTTAAAACAAAAATAGTATAAGCTGATAAAACATAAAAATGTTTTCTCTTTCCCAGTTGTGAGTCAGTTTCACGTCATATTTACTGTGCTCTTTTGACCAGAGCAAAACAAATTCGCTCTGTAATTCTGCAGTAGAAATTATCTGCGTCATGTAGTGTGAGAACTTCTGTTTCTGTATGAGCTCCACGTGAGTAAAGTGAGCATCAGCTCTTCTGACCTTTATACTTTGTTTTGTTTTCATTTTCTAGATTAGGCTGGAATAAAACTGTTAGGATTAGACCCTTTTGCCTTCAAATTGTCTCCTTTACACAAGTTTTCTTTCTTTATCCCATTCTGGAGGTGGCTCTAAAATAAAGTGCGTTTTATTGCACCAGTATACATGTTAGAAGTAAAATAGTGGTGATGGCACAACTGAAGTTTTTTATTTTCCTTTTCATGCTATTTATCCTTATTAATTCTACAATTACATTCCATTTTGCTCTTGCTTTATATGTTCAATTTGTTATATATATATATAGTTGATGTAAAGTCATGCCTTAGCAGTTACATCTATTTGGGAGAAATGCTAGTCTTGCTTTTATAGAATAGAAATGCAGTTGTTATATATAGTTGGTGTAAAGTCATGCATTAGCTGTCACATCTGTTTGGGAGACATGCTAGTCCTGTTTTTATAGAATAGAAACACAGTATTTGTCTTTTAGAATTATTTCATTTTCTAGTATGTTGTCTTTGTCTGCCTTGCCAGCAGATTATAAAAAGGTGGTCTTACCAATAAACATGGGTCTTACAATCTTATTTTTCCTTTCTTAGTTTGGACATCAAGACAGGATTCCTTTAAAATGGAAGATTCACTTAATTATTTTCATTGTTAAAATAGGTTCTGATAAAATAAAAACTTTTTAAAAAATTGATTATGTAGACATATAATTGGTTGGGAAAATATTTGATATTTTAGTTTGTCCTATTTAGATTGATTTTGTGTGTCTTTAACAGTTATGTAAATGTTCCACTTTAAAGCAGGTTAGATTTTATCAGAACTTACTGACATACTACGCCAGTCTTTATCATTTTTAATGTAACCCTAATCCTAAAAAAAAAAAATTGTTTTAGTTATCTGCACATGGCTGTCATTGTAAAATGTTTAATGCATTAGGTACTATAGTAACCATGTTGTAAATACAGAAGAAGTGGTTCCACGTGCTGGGTTTTGCAAGGTATTATAAAAGTCATTGTCTACACCTGTCTTGACTTGGTGGTGCAGCATATCAATTTTGAAAAGCAGCACAGGTTTCAGATTTGGAGATTGGAACTCACGTAAAGAGCTTGGGATAGCAGAATATTAAAAAATTATTCTCTGATGGCCTCAATGATAATGCTTTAAGAGGACATAAAGCTTTGAATTTTTCCCTACTCTTTTTTAAAACAGATTGTGAAGAAAGCTGAGAGAGGCTGAAATCCTTTCACATAAGCATAAAAAGAAATACTGGACCTCATGGAAGAAGAGCAAGATTTACCAGAACAACCAGTAAGTATTTCCTTTAACAAGTTAAAGTTGATTTTAGAAAAGCTGCTCTTAGGAAACTTTTAACATTGGTCAGTTATACTTACAGATTCCAACTTAGAAATAAAAATAAGGAAAAATCCTTAAATAAGACTTTCCTTACAAGAAAACATTACATGTTCTTACATATTTTCCTTACAAGAAAATATTAATGTTCTTCATCTCACATTTTACTACTATAAGGTTAAATCAAGGTATCTGTTTAAAAAATTCAGCATAACAGAGTTAATATGTATGTGAACATGTAATAAAATATCAATGGCTAATCTTACAGTTTTTACAACGTAACAGGAAATCTCTTTACCAACATCAGCTAGATGATATATCATTATTGCTGCCAGACCTTTAATTTTATGTAAATTTCCCAAATTGACTTAATTTCTTGTAAGGGTGTAGTCATTGAAAAAAAGTATACTTTGAACACTCATTAATTTTAAAATCAGGCAAAAACTCAGAGACTAGATTGAATTCTTAATTTATTTTTCATTTAATATAAAAAAAAGAAAATGCTTTCAGCTATCCGCAAAAGGTGAGTTTAATTTCTTGCTTTGAGTTCTTAGTTTTAATCTTATTCACTTGTTTTGAGTTTCTTTTTCTGAAGTAGGATAATTACTGATTTATTTGGTTTATTGTCTTGCATTTTATTTTAAGAGAAATAGAGGGAGACATTTATCTTTCTTTGGAATCCCGTGTAGAAAATTTGAAAGCAGATATGAGAATATTAAGTATTTTCCTTATACTGATAAATACTGATGATGATTACCATTATTTGTTTAGCCAATTCAGGTGAGTTAAATACAAAACTAGGAAGAGAGCAGTTGGTTAAAAGACCTTTCAAAATATTTGAAATGTTACTTTCTGTCCCTGGTTGGAATGTTGATAATCAGATAAAGAAATGAAGTTAAAGATTAGAGTTAGCATGATTTATAATGTATATATTTAAGGAACAAATAGCTGAATCCTTGACACTAATTCTTTCATTGGGTTTTTATTGTTGATATAAATGTTCTTAATTACATCTTGCCTATTTAACTTAATGAGAATTGTGAAGTTGAAGTGCTGGCAAGTAATCTTTTCTGCTTTGCTTCATTGCCATTTTACCAAACTTTTATACATGTATAAGCATTTATACAACCTGTTACTTCAGAGGGAAATGAGAAATTGAAGCACTTCAAAAACATTTTCTGCTAACTATAAATGACAATTATTGGCAATTATTTCCTTAACTGCTGTCAAAATCATAATAATATTAAATGAAAATGTCACACTTTGAGGGGAAGACCTAGCTTTTCACAAACTATGAGTGATTAAAAAATAAATAAATAAATCCTCTCCCAAGTCAGTAATGTTATTAATGAAGCCAAAATTTTTAACCCTGACCGTTAAGGATTGTTGTTATGTGCCATCAAGTCACCTGCAACTCATAGTGACCCTGTGTACTGTACAACAGCTGTGAACCCTGACCTATCCTGATACAGTCTCTCTGACTCCGAAACACCTACTCCCATTACCCCAGTTACTGTGTCATTCCATCTCATCTGAGGTCTTCCTCGCCTCTGTTGTCCCTCCACCCTTCCAAGCATGATGTCCTTCTGCAAGGACCAGTCTCTCCTGGCCACATTGCCAAAGTATGTGAGACAGAGTTTCAAAATCCTAGCCTCCAAGGAGAAACTTGGTTTCACGTGAACCTCTCCAAGACAGACTTACTTGTTTTCTTGGCGGTCCATGATATGTTCAAGACTCTTTTCCAGTACTACAATTCAAAGACATCAATTCTTCTGTCATCCTTAACCATTATCCAGCTTTCTGATGCATAGCAAGTTATTGTGAAGACCATAGCCTGGATCAAGCGCATCTTAGTCTCTATACTGATATCGTTGCTTCTCTCTTTGGAGAGGTCCCTGACAGCAGATTTTCCCAGTGTACAAGCTGTCACAGAAGTGATTCATGGCCTAAGCCATCATATCAAGGGGTGACTGGGGGGAGGGAGGTGCTCGATGAGGTAAGCAGGAGTGCAAGGGATGCTAATATAGCAGGGAAAGGAAATGGACAAGACACATGTGCGAGATAGGTGAGCACTAAATGTATTGGTTATTTCTGTGAGGGGAAGTGTCTTTCATCTGCTCCTTCCAGTAAAATCCTTGTCTGTCAGATATTGTTCAAAACCTAAGCATCCAAAGACAGACAGACTAGGAAGAAGGATTAGCCATCCGCTTCTGAAATATAACAGTCCTTCAAAAACCCTGTGTATAGTAGAGCACACTTAGGGGAGAATAACAGATAGGACAACTGAGACTGACCACTCAAATTTGAAAGCAGTTAAGGATTGAAATGTGTTTAAACCTGACAGAAAGCTCTGGTAACCCAGTATAAATGGCTGCACTGCCAACCCAAAGGCACCCAGTTTGATTCCATCAGCAGCTCCACAGAAGAAAGATGGGCAGTCTCCTTCTGTGCAGTTTACTGCCTCTGAAAACCCAAAACCCACTTGGGAGTTAGCTATGGGTTGATTCCAACTCAGCAGTATATAACAACAAGGATAGAAGTTACGGTTGAGCATTACCTTTAAAATTCGTACTTTTGTCTCCTTTTGAGCCTTACTGAATTTTCTTTTGTCTACTACTTGCTTACCCTATCTAATGAATATGTCAAGTCCCTGTTTATTTTATAACCATATGTGAAGGCCTTTCTCCTCCCCACCCTCCTTGCAATGAGCCCTTACCGCACTACAGTCAGAAAAGGCTCCTTCTGTGGTCACCAGGTATCTTTTAAAACACCTATTCACTCATAGTAGCTGATGTTAGATGGATCTTGGCTGAAAGCAGGGAATACCAGAGGAATGTCTATCTATGTTTCATTGACTATGCAAAGGCATTTGACTGTGTAGATCATAACAAACTGTGGCTGACTCTGAGAAGAATGGGAATCCCAGAACACTT